AAAAAAAAAAAAAAAAAAAAAAAGTGGCGACCCGCCCCGGCTGCGCACGGGTGCAATATGCATGTATTATACTTATAAACCATTCTTAAGAATAATTTTATTTATTAAAATAAAACGCATCACGATCCGTTGTGTAGTTTCAAAGATCTAAGCATACATAGGGACAGACAGACGGCGGATAGCGACTTTATTTTATACTATGTAGTAATGATAAAATGACTGCTAACGCATTTGAAACGCCTCTGGTTTCTGGGCGGCACTGATTGCTTACCATCAAATAATCCGTCTGCTAGTTTACCGGCTTATCTCAGAAAAAATTTATTACGTACCACAAAAGTTTTCGCATTGCATCATTACTTATTCATTTAAATATATCTACATATCACTATTCTCTCTCGCATGTAGTGGCTTAGTCTCAAATCTACGAGTTGTTATAGATGAGGAGCTTCATCATCATCACAGTGCTGTCAGCACTCGCAGCCTGCTATAGTGCTGACCTCCCGAGCGAGGCGATGACTGAAGACTACACCATGGTATTTGACGAAATGTCACCCAACAGAAAGATTGCGTCTAACGCAGAATTTCATGCCAATTCTGATGGTTGGATACTTATATCGCGGTCAGTAACTACTGAAGCCTACTGTCCAGGATGCGTTTTGACAAATACATGCAATCTACAAATAACGATAGGCGAATTTATATAAGGAGTGGGTGACGCAACGTTGCCGCTTCGTGTACAGTTTTGATTGTTTATAAGCATTTGTCATTTGTAGGTTGCATGCATTCGTCAAGTAACGCGTCGAGAATAATAGGCTCAAAAATACAGAGCTGGTCAAAGCAATGTGTCCTGAAGCCTGAAATGAAATGAAATGATGCTTATTTCTGTAAATAGGTTACAATGTAACACTTTCACATGTCAATCTTTGAATTACTAGATGATGGTTTTCCTACTCTGAGAAGAAACGCCGAAACAAACTCAGAGGACATTGTCTTTTTAAAAGTCCAGACAGATTAAATTTATAATGTGCTAGAACCGTGCCAGTTGATGGTTGTCGAAAAATATCACAATGTGTTATCTGCACATCGCAGCGTGATCAAACCAGGGATGTCCCCTGAAATATTTCAAGGGCGTTACATAACGTTATGTTTCTAATAATAAACATGATAATATTAAAAGCCTTCATGTAATTATTGACATTTCTTTAGCATCCTGCGCTAATCTGATGACACTAATTAAAAATTGCAATAACAGCTAATTACAGATTATGTTATCACTAAATCTTGAATATATAAATGGCGTCCATCGGACGAAGTGTCACAACAATCAGTAAAAGAAAGCTGCAAGTTGGAAGAAGAAAAATTATCAGAGTAAGTAGATATAATTAATACAATTTAAACTGTCAAACACGGAGCGGTCACCGGTGACCGCAACCTATTGTTCTTTAATTGTGTCTATAATGACGGTACTCAACGAGATTAATCCCCAGAGCGGTTGACGAATTTTGGGTGCAACAAACATACCATCCTAAATTAATTATAATTTAATCATAGATTAAAGCTAAGTATTACTAAATTTCCAATAAAAACTTAAATAATATTAAAATTAACTATTACTAAATTAATAATAAAATATATACAACTTAAGATTAAAATTATATAAAACAAAAACAAAAACAACTATTTACATAAAGCATCGAAAAATTCGTCCTCATCGACGTCAGTGGGGAAAGTACCCAGGAGGCTGGCAGCATTGCCACGTTGTATGGCAATGCTTAACCTCTGACCGAGAAAAAGACCAGCCCTCTGGTCACGAGATGTGTCAACCAGGCGTTTTGAAATGTTTTTGAATAATTTAAGCGCACTCGGACCCCACGGACCTAACGTCTCAACCCCAAACGGCTCAAAGATATAACTACCAGCAAGGTTGTTATACTTGCGACGCTTGAGGTTTTCTGCAGAGGCAGCAGCCGAACCAGCACAACCCGCCGTTACTGGAAGATGAGAAGGTGCAAAAGTGTCGACGCAGGTTGCGTCCCACACCAAAGACGAGCTTCCAGGGCATAATGGACATACCGTCGGGGATTTTACCATCGTCGCGTGCCAAACCATTTGGTTCCAGAACAGCTGGTACACCGGCGATGATAAGAGCTCGACGGATGATGTCGTTAATGCTGGCGTGTCGAGCTATCCGGCCCGCGCTTCTGCTACATAAAATTAATTATTATGTTTTCGGCTTACTCACGTAACTGTTTGACGAGGAACTCGTCTAGTTTCAAGCCATGCTAGAGGCTCATATTCATGAGCAGCATTTCGCGATCCGCGACACATGGTTAGCAGTACATTAGCAGCGCGACAGTTGCCGCGTGAGAAAACATAATTGGTAAACATACCATCCATTATACCTCATATTAGCTCTAGCTGGCATTCTGTCATGCCTTATTAAGTGTACGAGTTGTTACAGATGAGGAGTTTCATCATCATCACTGTGCTGTCAGCACTTGCAGCCTGCTATGGTGTCGCTGTACCTCCGAGTGAGGAGGTATACGGAGGTTACACCTTATTATTTGATGACATATCGCCCGAAGGAAGGATTGTGTCTAGCGCCGAGCTTAATGCCGGATCTGACAGATGGGTTAAACTATCTGAGTGAGTATCCACTATGCGTACTAAATCTAACCTAACACTTCTGTGTTACTCCATAAAGTTATTATATTTTATCAATAGCTTATTTTAAAATCTCTCCATTCATAGAAGCAAGTTTAACTAGACTAGCCCACCACGCAGGAATTATTATAGTATACAAGTGTGAGTGTGTGTTTAGAGGCAAGGTGGTGAAGCACCACTGAACTGCCTGACTCCAGGCAATAATGGTCATTTTACTCAGAATTTGAAGATTGCATTGTTAGTAGAAAGATGTAATTTGACATTAACAAACAAATCTTACATAAAATAGACTGCCTCGTTGGCCGAGTGGTCGCAATTGCGACGGCCGGGCAAGGGGTCTCGGGTTCGATTCCCGGGTCGGGCAAAGTATTACTGGGCTTTTTCAACAAAAATCAGTAGTAGCACGGAGTCTGGAATTGTGCCCGGTATATGGCAATAAGCTCACCCCCTATTACATGGGACTCATAAAATAAATAGTGAAAGTGAGTGTTACATTGTATAGTGGCATTAAGTGCCGTAATGTACACCTCTGTCTATCCCTTTGGGGATAAAAGGAGTGAGGCTATGTATGTATAGGTGTATTAGATAAAATATCGTGAAACAATGCTTGCGTTGTGTTTCATCGTGTAAGTGAGGTTACCGGAGGCCAATTAACCCTCCCCCCTTTCCCAATCCCTGAATCCCAAACAATGCTCAAGTTCCTAATCCCAAAAGGCCGGCAACGAACTTGTAACACCTCTGGTGGTACAGGTGACCATGGGCGACCCCGATTGCTTACTATCAGGTGGTCCGTCGGCTCGTTTACCGGTTTATCCCATTAAAAATATACAAGACGGAGTGTAAAATAATACTGTAATGTTATTTTCAGATCGATTTTGGACGTCCCAGCGGTCCCTGGGCACGTTCAGCGGATTGGCACCAAATATGAGGGTGATGCTTCAGTCGTCATAACGCGCTGGAGTGTAACTTCTGACGTACCGACTGCATCGTATAGTTTCAGTCCCTTTGGAAGTAATTTAATGGAAGTAACGATACAATCACATCTTGGTAATAGAATATATTCCACTGTAACGATATATGGGGTCATTCTAAATAAATAAAATTTATTTTCAAACATAAAGTCTAGAAATGTACAGTTTTGCTTAAAGCTATATAATATAAAGTTCACAATATAAGGTGCCTGAACTAGGACATCCTGTGTTTCAGGCGAGGTTAGGTAACAGTAACAAACATTGTTATATAATCACTAGTATTTAAATGCTAATAAGTTAAGGTAAATTATGACAAAGGTAATGGCCCATTTAGTGTGAAGAATATACCCACGGCGTACAGAAATAAAATATGGCGGGAATCAAAGACAAATGATTATACTTTTCAATGATAAGTGGCGCATTGCTGTGGCTCATGGGGATCATGAAAGAATAATAATAAAAAAATGTAATCTACCTAATATGAAAACTTATAACTTATGGTTTTTGCGTGAGCGCAACAAAGCTGGTTATCAACACGGGTAAGACAGAGACAGCAATATACGTGTATTATATTACCTGACCGAACGAGTTTGCTTTATGTGTGATGATATTTATATTTAACAAAACAATGGCAAAATAAGTTTGTTTGTTTTATTTTCAAGTCTAAACCACTGAACCGATTTTGATTAAATTGCTGTGTATAGATATATTTTTTGATTTAGAGTCGGACATAGTATACTTTTTACCCAAGTGACATGTTTCCAAGGATAAAATAATTTACAGACTGCCGAAACCTTTTATTGGTCTGCTGCAAGATTTCTCCAACAAATTATTTTTTTCTTTTTACATATCATGAAAAGTGGATTATACTTGCATTATTTACCACCATTTTCGTTTTTGTACAAAAACATTTCTGAACTGGGTCGGATTATGGGCCATGACCAAGTTATATTTATGCATATTGATATAAAGTAATACTTAAATAATATGCTTAATATGTATATAGGAGTATGTATGTAGTATATAAATAAGAGATTAGGAGCTTACTTTAAGTATTACTTAGGAACTAATAATAACTTCTCTGTGGTTTCATAGGACATGTCTTCAAGGGCTTCCTTTAGAATTTTCTTACAGTTACGGATGCTATGGGGGTAAATCCATAACGTTGCATTTAGTCTATTGTATAGGAGTGATCCAAGAAATACAAAAAAATTGGTAATAAAAGCGTGCTTTGTACTTTTGGTTGGGCAAACAATATCTCTTCGCCGTTTTTCGGTTATCCCAGGACTGTATGGAAAAGCCGCATGCTGTTTTAGTACAGTGCTCATAATAAAAAGCTGCCGGACTGTTAGTACTTTAAAAGAACTATATAGAAGGTTAGTGGGGTAAAGAAAAGATCGGCCAGTCACTTTGAGAATCCCTCTTTGGACTCTTTCAGTGGAAAGCAGTATAGTCTTATCCGTACCACCCCAAGAGGTAATACAGTAAGTCAACATTGATTGGCACAAGGAGAAATAGAGAAATATACCTGTCTGATTATTTTTGTTAATTGACAGTCTGATACCTCACACAATTACTGAGAACAAATTGCAGTTTGGGAGAAATCAAATTAGCAGAGGAAGTACACTGGCTTCTACACCTTCGTCCATAGAATCGAAGTGAAGTAGTAATTTAATTATGTATTGTAAAAGTTTGGTATAACTTTTGAATCAGTTTAGGAGATTTTGCTTGAAAGAGAATCAAATATAGACACGTCATTAATACTTACGCAATTATAATATTAGTTGTCATCATAGATATATTAATTAATATTTCTATGGTTGTCATAGATGAGGAGCTTCATCATAATCAATAGTGCTGTTAGCATTCGTGGCCTGTTATAGTGCTTTTGTCCTCCCGAGCGAGGAGATGTCGAGGGGAATTTTTAAATTTATTTTTTATGGGAAAAATCATCAAATGAGTTCTCCCACTTGAGTGAGGCGGGAGGGTGTCAGAGTGTCAGACTCTTACTGACTAAAAACCACCCCGTTCCTACTCCTGCTCTCTTCTCCGCGGCATGTCGAGGGGGTATACCCTGGTATTCAATGACATATCACCTCACGAAGGAATTATGTCTTTTTTTTAAGGGGGGAAAAATCATCGAATTACTGCTCCCGCCTGGGTGAGGAGGGAGGGAGTGTCAGACTCTTACTGACTATACATCACCCCGTTCCTACTCCAGCACTTCGAGTCGGAGCCCCGGTTACCCGTTAGGTTCTCCGCGACAAGGAATTATGTCTAGCGCAGAGATAATTGCCCGATCTACAATTATTTCAGTAAGGACATTGACTTCACTTTAGCTTACAAAGGGAACTGTTAAATGTTCACTTGTCATCGCTTATATTTATTTTTACTCAGTGTGCAACTTACCAACACGCGAAACAAACACGATTGTAAGAATCATCAACGTTTATTACGATGTAATACATTGTAATATTACATCACGCCTTTTATCCCCGAAGGGGTAGGCAGAGATGCACATTACGGCATTTAGAGGTAATTCCACTATACATAAATAGTGAAAAGTGGGTGTTACTTCTGTGTGCACCTCTGCCTACCCTTTCGGGGATAAAAGGCGTGATGTTATGATGATGATGATCCACTATACAATGTAACACCCACTTTTCACTATTTAGGTTTTTTTTGAAGGGGTAAAATCATCGAATGTCTGCTCCCGCCTGGGTGAGGGGGGTTACGAGTCCCATGTAATAGGGGGTGAGCCTATTATCTTACACCGGGCACATTTCCAGATTCTGTGCTACTACTAAGATTTTTAATTCTTATTTAATCACAATTAAAGAACAATGGGTTGCGGTCATCGGTGTCCTCGCGGTGTTTCACAGTTTAAAAAACCCAGTAAAACTTTGCCCGACCCGGGAATTGAACCGGAGACCCCATGCCCGGCAGTCGCACTTGCGAGTAGAGTTCACAAATGTATTCATTCTGCACTCTTGTTTCATTATCAAATTCAGACTATCATTTTGAGTGATATTTGTCAAATGAAAGATAAAAATGAACCGTCTAATATCACATTAATCATTAAAAAAAACATGATAAAAGGTATGAGAACGATAAAGGTAGATAACATTGTGTTTATCAATAAACACTTCCTTTGATTTCTTTTCCTCTTATTATATTACGAATTTGCTATCAAAGTTTCAAAGTCCAGGTTTGTTATCGGGGTATTCCAAAATAGATATCGGCTTTATGTGATAATCGTTCTATAGATATTTATGATTCATGAGACGAAAAAACATGAGTCTGTGTGATAAAATAGACACGCTGTATATCAGTTCCCTCCCACTACTTGATAGGACCAATCAGGGCGATCAGAGAAAGATCAGGCGCTTGACGCGTGGATGTTATAGTCCATAATTTTTTTACTAACTTATTATTCTTATTTATTTTAACACTTATTATACAAATGTTTATACAATGGCGGGCTTAATGCCGGACGACTTTCTCTACTATACTTTACTAGAGGTATAAACATATAACCAACTGTAACACTTCTCTTCATCAGCCTGTGGTTGGCTGGTGGAGTTTGTTTCAGTTGAAAAGCGAGGGTGTTAAATGTACCTAGAGGTATATATATAGGTATCTCAGTGTATAAACTACATATCAATATGAAACATAAATATAATATGTAAATAATTATAAATATTTATAATGTCGCTAACCTTCATTGTGGACCTGAACTTAGACGTTAAAACTGATTTTACTGTCAATACCATGTAATGTCAAGATGCACTTGACATGATATTGCTTATTGTCTAGCAGTATGGACGTGATATAATCTTAAAATGCTTATCTCATATCTATTGTAATCCAACGAGATTGATTAAAATTTCACTATCTTTATATCTTATCAGTCAGATAAACATATATTTCAGGAAGGTAATACGCAGTTTTGTCAATGTTTACATTCGAGTGAGGTCGAGTGCTAAGTTTCGGAAGACTTTTTTAAAAATATATTGCAAATTATCGAAAGTTTTTAGTTACATTGCGTTCGATTTTGATTTCTAATTATACAAAGGTACGGTTTAAAGTTTTTTAACTTCCTAAAACAATCTTTATTTATGTGGGTTTTTGTTTCTGTTCATTTCGTGTTTCGTTGCATCGTTTGCAGATGTTTATTATGCATTTATTTCTTCATAAACTGTAACATACATTCACCATTCATGTGCATCATCTTAACGTCTACATGTTTACTCATATTTTTGTTTGTATTGTATTATATTGTGTTTGTGCCTAGAGGTAGTGTAATTAAATAAATTATTATTTTTTTCTTTCTTTCTTTTCGATTTTACGCATCTGCCATAATAACAAAGCCATAATAAGTAAGCCTGTCATAATAACATCCTACTACCCTATACCTATCCCGTATCCTAACACGTCTGTTAGACCGTCGCTCAGCACGAGTTTGTTTATGAATTTTTTAGTTTTAAATCGAAACGAGACAGCGTATAGCGCTCCGATTGGATGGTTCGATGTAACCGGCCAATCAACGCGCCGAATGCAGTCTCGTTTCAATTTTGTTAAACGTGCAAAAAACAAACCTCCTCATGCCCCAGGCGTCGTGGAAGACACTCCGGGTGTCGGAGATCGCGTGACGATATCCGGCCACCGTAAGTTCACGTCTGTGGACGGTGAGCAAGGGTAGCTCGCCGCTCGACCAGTACCTAATCCGCACGCACCTCAAAGAGCCATCAAACCACCACAGATGTGGGCCAATAGGGCTGATGCCCGACACGGAGCCGCGGAACGCCTAACAAGTTGCCACGGCTCGAAAATCAGGAATCACGTCAAAACGTGGGAATCACGTCAAAATCACGCAGGAACGGGGTGGTTTTTTGTCAGTAAGAGTTTGACACTCCCTCTCGCCTAACCCAAGGCGGGAGAAATCATTGGATGATTTTTCCCCCTTTAAAAAAGTCAGGTCAGCAACGTAGTTCGATAATGTTGAAGTCAAAGAGTGTCGCTAATCACTTACCATAAAGCAACATGTTTATTCGTCTGCCTATTATAAAAACAGACACCATTTAAAACATGAATATTAGATACTTTATTTTTAATAAATTTTACTATTTCCTAACGCTAAGACATTTTAGAATGTAACACTTGGTTATTACAGATGAGAAGCTTCATCATCGTCACAGTGCTGTCAGCACTCGTTGCCAGCTATAATGCTTCTGTTCTCCCGGACGCAGAGCAAATGCCCTCAAACTTCATATATACAGTTTACGATGGAAACTCACCCAATGGAACCATTGTTGCTTTAAATGATATTACAATAAAATCTTCATTTTTATTATCTACGTGAGTATTTACTAAGTTTAAGACTAAAAAAGCATCCATAAGAAAAAGAGGGGTGGTGAATAATTACATAGCATAACATAACATCACGCCTTTTATCCCCGAAGAGGTAGGCAGAGGTGCACATTATGCCACAGTACAATGTAACATCAACTTTTCACTATTTATATTATGAGTCCCATGTAATAGAGGGTGAGCTTATTGCCATATACCTGGGCACAATTCCAGACTCCGTGCTACTACTGAGATTAAAAAAAAAACTCAGTAATACTTTGCCCTACCCGGG